TAAAAGCTTCTCCATAAAATTTGAAAAAAGTGTTTAGGAAAGCATTTTCATATTACCTAGTACAGTAATTCCCATAGTGGACCCCAGGTGTCCATGAATACCTGCTTTAGGTAATAAAATAAGTATTAAGGCGGTCTATCAAAAATTCAAAAACACGACAATGGGTCTACGAGGAAAAAAGTTATGGGAACCTCTGATCTAGTATAACAATACAACGAAATTTTGTTTAACCATTATAGAACATTGCCGTCTTTTATGTGCTGATCATATCAGTTGTTTGTTTTATTTTTTTCTCTTTCAAATGTATAACAAGTAGCAACATTATAAAATATAGGTTCTTATGTATACCCATGGTAGAAATTCTTATACTATTAAAATTGTATATTGCTGAATCTAATCAAACAGATATACAAAATAAATTTAGTTTTTTTTTAACAATATATTATTGATACGGGTAAAAACAGTGGTAAATAAAAAAAACCGTATATTCCTCAATAAAATATACCACAACGCCACTGCATTATTTATTATATTATATTAATAAACAGTTCAGGGATTCGCAGTTCAGATGTTTGTCGTCGTTACTGTCATTATAATATATTTGTTGCAAATAGTTTCGCAAGCCCATATAAAATTTAAATAAAAAAAATTTATATTTTTCATTTAGTAGGACAGTTTTTTTTTTAATGACATATACGTGCACGGCTATAAGATACTCCAAAGTATGTACCATACTATTTTTGACATTATACATATAGATACAATTATTAATTTGTTAATGATTTGTTGGATATTTAATTTATAAAAATATTCATAATAATTGCTGAATTTTGTCGTCAAATGCGATGTGTTACAGTAATTTTAAAATTATAAATTTTAGTTTGATATATGTGTGTAAATGATAAAAATTAATAAATTCCTTCGAAATTTATAAATTTTTTGTATGATATCGTAATGCACTGTAATACTGTAAAACACAATTCAGCAGTTAATAGAATGTTATTTTTATGCTTATACCGAATTATAATTAGTTGTAAAATCAGCTGATGCACAAAAAATTATATACATATATACTTAGATTTGCTAAAATATACATATATAAATGTTGTCAATGTAAATGCTGTTATATATATATATATATATATATATTTAGAATAAAGTCTATTCGCATACTATGCATGTTAATAGATTGAAAATCCAAAAAAAAAAAATCAAATTTGAAAAAATATTTTAAAATTTTCTTAAAAATTTTTAATAGTTTTTTATAATATTTTTTTTATTTTTGGCGTTTTTCTTTATTTTTGTTTTTCTTTTTTATTAAATTTTTAAACATTTTTTAAGTTTAAATTAAATTAAATTCATTTTCAACTTAAATTTATTTATGTATTCAAAGTTAAATTTAGAATACTTTGAACAAAATAATCACATATAAGATGCGTTAATGGTGTCTCTGAAAACTGTAAGACTATATGGATGCAATGAAACCAAAAAAAAAAAAAACATAATGTCTATAAGAGTTCAAGTCATAGTTTCGAACATAGATTCAGTTTTGTTGAATTGGCATAGTACAGTAAAAAAGAGCTCATATATGAAGAAGAATCCCTGCTCAATGCTTAAATGGAAAATAAATTGAGCTATATATGAACCCCATAAATATATACAGTTCCGTTGTATTTAATTAAAATAAAATTTGTAATTGTATATAACAATAAGTTTTTACAAAATATTACTTTCGCTTTTTCATTTTTAATTATATTAAATTTAAAAAATAATTAAAAACAATTGATTTTAAAAAATTTTAATAAGCTTTCCCACAAAATTCTGCGTCAAAGTATAGAAATCCATTAGTCATGTAATAAAATTTTATAATTTGGTAACTGAAAGCTGCTGTAAATGTTTGGGATATTAGCCGGTTTTTGAGAAATTTCGAGGAAACGAGAAGCGGAAAAGGACTAATGGATTTCTACAAAAACGGGTCTTAGTATTCTAGATGTACCGTTTGGATAGGGAGACCGCGTCAACCTAATCTAAATTTATTTTAAAAACCAAATTTATTACAAAATTGGAAGGGGGGGGAGGTGGGGGAGGAGACCTGAAATCGAGTAGGACGCCGAACAAGTCAGAACCGGGGCAGATTCCAGTTATACTCAATATAACATTCGAATATACATCAATTTTATGTCAAATTGCATGGTACCAATATACAAATATTTTTTTAATATTTTAAAATTTTGCAATAAATTAATTTTTGCTTTTTTTTTTTTTTTATTTTGTTAAAGTATATATGTAGTTGCATTTTTATTTAACAACAACCTAAAATAAAAAAATTTCAAATGAAGATTTTATGACTTTATATGGCGAACCTTTGATTATGATTTTTGTTCTTTTCATTTTATATATACATATGTATGGGTATATAAATACAGCATTTTTAATTTTAAGTAAATTTTTTTTTTTTTGTTATTGTTGTTTTTTTTCTTTATTATTATTCTTTTTAATATAACAATTTTTTTACATTTAATATTTAAAAAGTATATATAGCCCCTTTAATGTAAATATTTTCTATATTATGTATATATTATATGTGTATATATATATATGCATTTTTTATATATGTGTATATTTATATATATACATTATATCTGTATATGTATTATATGAATATATGTATATATTATATGAATATATGTATATATATATATATATGCATGAGCAGTTTACAATATATATATATATATATATGTCTATATATTATATGAAGATATGTATATATATATATATATGCATGAGCAGTTTACAATATATATATATATATATATAGAGTTACTATACAATAGTAAAGTTTCCTCATTTAGGAAAAGTCAAAAATCGGATGTTAATCAACAATGTAATTTACGAATAAAACATAGACATTATATAACAGTAAACGCAAAATTCTTTTCAAGTGTATATGTAGGTACTAGATATATATTTTCTTCCTGAATTTCTTGAAAAAAAAAATTAATTAAAACTCTATTCATTTTCAATTACAATTACAAAAATTTTGCATACTTTTAGGGGCGGGCAAAATAAATGAACTGAGTTAAAATAAATAAATAATTATATAATTTTCGATGGCATATAGCCGCATTTATATACCTAAAACAATTAATAATTATTGTAAATAAAACTTGAATCTATAATACGAGGTTATTATACTGAAAATTTCCTTGTCCTTCCTCATTTAATGTTGATTTTGCTATAGGACGAATCTGATATATGATTTTGCTATAGGAAGAATCTGATATATGATTTTGCTATAGGAAGAATCTGATAGTAGTTTTGTTTTTGCGTTTCTAAATGATGATCCTCAAATCATTCGAATTTTATAATTTTTAATTAGTATACGAATTTTAAGAATTAGAATACGAATTGGCATTATAAGTATATGTATGAAGTACACACTTTAGAATATACCACACAGTTCTTATATACTATGCCATATAACATTCATACCGGAGATTTTTCAACAATTCCGTATGATCGTTCTAAATTAAATCTTAAAAATATGCTGAAACTGAATATTATAGTTTTGCAGATTTTGTGACTATGTATACAATTTTGTAACTATGAATAGTTCTTCAATATGCAACTATTATTACCGACGGCATTGTGTATACAATAAGGTAGGTTATGTGATGGCACCAAATTTTGGCTCTCGATTTTTCGATGGGAACACACTTCTCCATAGTAGGAGAGTGTAAATACACTAATTTTAGAAACCTGTCGATCTGTCGGTATGTCGGTCTGTGTGTGTACACGCGTGTACACGCGCGTATCTCAAGTTCGGGTCAACCGATTTTGATGAAATTTTATATGTAAGTTTATTTCGTCTATGACACGGATTAATCAACTTTTGGGATATATCAAGCCTCGGGAAGCGGACTTTTTAACGGGCCTGTTTTACATTTTTGATCATTTTGAAGACAATATTCAACCGATTTACTTAAAATTTCATAATATATAAGCTTCTTTCTTCTTTTGGAAGAAATCAGATGTCAGCAACTGGACGTTTACTAAGGGGCCAAATAAACATTTTTGCGTTTATAAAGAGAAATAATACATTCGATTTCGATTTCATTGAAATTAAATATTTAAATTTGAAGCGTTAAAACAATGAATTTATCAATTTTTTGGGAAGATCAGGGTTCAGAAATTGATGGGGGCAGATTAGATGGAAATTCGAAAATATTGCAATTTCTTGAAATTTAATATTTGAGTTCTGATTGTAACTAGATGTTGCTGACGAACTTTTCGTATAATTCGGACAGCACAAAATGAAACTATACTAAGAGCCAATTTCATATTTTTATAGGTATGTCAGCTAAAAGCTTTTTAGTGTCCTTAAAATTGTAAAGAAGTGTTTAAAACGCATTTTCGTTATCTTCTGGAATACTTTTACTAATTTAGACAATACATATTGTGGTCGGCTATTTGCTGACCACATTAGATTTTTTTTATTCCTTATACTCTTCTTCGAAATTATAAGAGCTCCGTTTCAATTTTTATGCACAACTATTTTTCAAATTTTTTAATTTGGTTTTTGTCGAGCATGCTTTTTATATTTAGTTCTATAGACCTAAGTTATAGAACTGAATTATCAAAATTCCCTTATATGCTATTTTATTGCTGCTCTGCATAATATATATTAAAAAATTTCGATTACATATATATTTTTAATTTTTTTTTTTTATTATTTAATAAACTTTTAAATTAATTATTAATATATATATATATATATATATATATAATATATTTACACCCGTATTTGCTATAAAAAACCTCTTAAATCGCGAAAAATATTTAATAATTATAGCAAAATATACATGTATTTGTATGTATATGTATTTATATATATTCATAACATACTAAAATTAAAAGAACTATATAAATGTATATATGTAATATATATTGCTTATACATATATAATATAATATATAACAAAAAATAATACAATATAGGCTTGTGGAAAATATATACCAGCTACTACAAACGCTCAAAATAATCAAGGAGGTCAGGGAATGGATGGAACATATTTGGTTGAAGCATCATTTTAAAATATATATATATATATATAAATTTCTGCCTGCAAATATAAAATTTCAAGCTGCATAATAATAGCGAACATATAAAATATTTCATTATAAAAAAAAAAAATAAAACAAAATAAAATATAAAAAAAATTAGGAAAAAATCAAACCCGCCAAATTGGCTATAATTAATTAATTGCGCGAAAGCTATATGTGTAGATAAAACAAATGACAAACCATACAGAAATATCTGTAAATTGTAAAACGCAACATTATATATGTATGTATATAAATTATATTCGTAATAATAACAATATATAAATTTTTTACAAAATTTGTTATACTAATATTTTCTATTTTATATTTAATTTATTAAATGTTATGTAGGATCTTTAAGTTTTTCATTTTATACTATTACTAACATACTTTATTCAATAAACTATAAATTTTAAGTTTAACACCATTTAAATTTTCTTAAATTTATTAACGCTATACAAAACTTATTATAAATTTTAATAGTATTTGATGATTCCATATATTATATTAAAAATAAATTAATAATACTCAAATTTCGTATATTAAAATGATACATGCACAACCTTAGTTATCGAAATTTTTTAATAAATTACCAGGTAATCAAGCTCCTATAACATAGTACTTCTATATAATGCGGTTTTGTTACAACACGGTTCATAAAATTCCGAAAATTTCCTATATGACATGGTACTTCTATATTTTAACGCGATACTTTTATATAACACCGTTCGAAAAAGGCGAAAAAATTTTCTATATAAGATGGTACTTCCAGATACAACGCGGTACATTTATACAACACAATTTCCTATATATAACGCGAAATTTTTTAGAAAATATCTAATCGAACGGGGTTGTAAGAGGGTTTGTACCTGCACAAATCCATATTGTATTTAATAATAAATTTTAGTAATTATAATATAGTTTTAATTAAAATATTTGGAGGTAAATATATAATTTATTTAAATATTTTTTTAAATATATGTATATATTTTGCTTTATTATATATATATTTTATTTACTATGTATATTTTGTATATGTTTGTACTTGTATATTTCGTTTTTATAATTTAAAGTTATTGATTATTAATATGTATTTTTTTTGAGATTTTCAATTAATATAATTGAATAGTAATATGTACATATATATATATATAATAATATTCATTATGTTTATTGTCCAATATTGCATATAAATATACATAATTATTATTAACTAGTTATTGTTTATATGTAATTATATATGTATTAATAAAAGTATATATAGTCGGTTATAAAAAATAAAAAAACATACATATGATTATTAAAGTAGTAACCAAAAAATAAATATGGCGGGACGTATATATGTGCAAATAAAAATATGAAAAGAAACCCAAAAAAAATAAAATGTGTTCAAAAAGAAGCGAGATTTAATTCTGAATTTTCATTTTATATATAGAAGAGTCATCCAAGATGCACGTCAATATATAACGATTTCATTCAAGTATATAGTGGAAAATAAATATATGTACTTTACAATATAACACATATATTGAAACATATATGTGTTTGAAGTTGACAGTGAACACTTAATCTAAAACTTTTAAACAATATAATGTGAACGCATCTATTTTGTAAAATTTTTAATACACTTGCGTAAAATTTTAATTTTAAAATATAATATCTATAAAGTATATATTCCATAGCCCTCATACACTATACTATAATATTTAATTTCATCCATTATAAGAAAAGTCAGAGATTTTTTTGGGTAAAGTGAGGTGTATAACATTTTAGATCTCGTGTAATTAAAAAGAAATTTTAGAAGAAGAAAGAAAATCATACCTATCATACCCTTTCGAGAATAATTATATGGTATATAGAATCGTGTGTATAACATGAATATTTACTTAACATCTTCGGGCGTCTTTCAGAAAAATATTTCAAAAATTAATTTATATCAAAATTTAACTTACGTATTTTCGATAAAACATCGGGCGTACTCTTAATATTTTCATTTTTCGGTTAACACTTTAATAATATATAACAATATGTTATTTAAATTGAAATGTATATTGTATATATATATATATATATATATATATATATATATATAAAATTTAAAGTCGAAATAAATTAAATAAGTTGCGTGAATAGAAATTGCGTGAAAAAAGGAAACATAATTAAATTTATCTAATTTAACTAATGATGTTAGATTAGCTAATATATAACAGTTACAGTTAATTTTTTTTATATATAATCTATTTTACAAGTATAATTCAAAATTTAATTCCAAAAAAAAAATGTGAAATTGAAAAAGCTTAAATGAATTTTCTTTTACTTTAAACTATCTCTGAAAAATTTTAAAAAATTTTTTCTCTTCAATTTTATCCCATTTAAGTACATATAAATTTATTGTATCTGTTATATGCAGTAAATTATATATAGTAACTCAATTATAAATTTATTAGAACTGTTTTTAAGTTAGGTATAATATATATATATATATGTATAATCTAAATTCCCAGTCAACTGGTACACAATTTTTCTGGCATTAATAATTATAGATCAAATTGAGACTATTATACTGTTTAATATACATATATAGAATTAATCATATATATTCTATATTTATAAACAACAAATAAATTATACAGTTATACTTCGTACATATATATATATATATATATATATATGAGAAAAGCAGTATTTTAAAAATTAAAAAAAAAATTATAAAAATAATTATAAAAATATTCATAGAAAATTATAAATGTCGTTTTTAGGAAACGTAATCAAATAATAATAATAATAATAATAATTACATAATATAAATTATTAGTTAAACAAAATAATATAATAAATAAAATAAAAATATTGAAAAAATCGATGATATTATTATCTTTAGAATTAAATCAAAACAAAGTCAAAAGAAAACTTAAAAAAATCATAAAGTAAGTAAAAAATAATATTCATATTAAATTATATATAAATTAAAACGATTTAATGTCATAACAGATTATGTATATATATAACGTATATAACATAAATAAAGCTAAAAAATATTTGCGTTCCATTTATAGGTGTTCAAACTATATATTGTTATGAATATAGCAAAATTAAACTCAACTCTATTTAAACTATACGCTTATCTCGAAGAAATTGCATATAGATATTCTGTGTACAGTGTTATGTTATTCCCGGTAATAATATAGTAAATTTATAGTATAAGTAGTATATTTTCGTTGTATAATAGTAAATATATAGTATTTCTAATTTATATACAATAAATAGTATTCTAGTATTACAACAGATGGATTCTATGTTATACTTTTTGTAAAAATCTAATATAATTTTATTATTAGCAAATTTCTTAACGTTGCAACCATAAAATTTTCATAAACTGATCTTAATTGTTGATTAAAAATTATAATTATTACATTCTATCAAATGATATATATCCTCATATACCGTAAAAGAGACGGTTTCGATTTATAAATATTACAAATGACTATATGAGCTCTTACATATGAGTACATATATACATAGCTTGAACACATGAATAGGACGCAAATATCAAATATCATACAATCATTATTAAAATATAATTATAAATGTTATACATATATATATATAGGTATTGAAACAAGCTTTCTTATAGCGCGTAGTTAAGTTGTAAAATTTTATGGAATAAAATACTAACTTACTGTTATGCATTTCAAAATATATCCTTTATAAATTTCATTTAAATATATACTGTTATAAATATATAACAGTTTATATATCAAACTATGTATAAAATTTTTGTATATAAATACTTAAGAGTTTGTTATTCTTGTTATACAATTTATTAATTAACATTTTTAAAACTTTATTCAAATAAATAAGAAAAAATAAAATAACAAGTATTTTTTGTTATTTTTTGCTTTTTTTTTTTGTTTTGTATTTTTGTTTTTTATTTTTATATTAATTAATTTTTTTCATTCCATTTTTTTTATGGCTTTAACGAATTTACGATCTTTAAATTCTCTTTTTTTTTTTTTTACAAAGCCAAGTGTTTACCACACCTTTTTTTGTATAACATTGTTAAATTTAAAAATATTGGTGTAATCGCGATAATGTGTAAAATGCGCGCGTTGTTGAATTTTTCTTTTGCATCTTAATCTTGATTAGTTGCAGGTTAACAAAAGTGCATTGTGTTAACTTTTGTAAGGTTGTCCACCAGATGTCTATCTACATTTATGTATTACTAAAGTAAAGTTCTCAAATCTATGGTTGTATGCAAAAGTTGTAAACAAAAGTTGATATGCAAATATGTTTTTTTTAGCATAAATTTGTTGATCAACCGCCATTTTGACATTAAAGATTTTACACCTATATATATAATATATATATAATATATATATATATATATATATATATATATATATATATATATATATATATATATATATATATATATATAGGTATATATATATATATAGATATGTATATATATATATATGTATATATATATATATATATATATATATATATATAGGTATATATATATATATATATATATAAACATATATGTATATATATGTATATATAAGTATATGTATATTATATTTATGAAAATTCAATAATAGACAACAAAAAAAGAAAAAGAAAAATAATATTTAATAAATGTTAAAAAAAATTCAAGTTATAAAAATTTTCTCCTTATTAGCAAAAAAAAAGAACAGAAAAACTTATTTTGTCACCCGTGATTAAAATTAAAAAAAAAAAAATTAAATAAATTTAAAATTAGAAATGTAAAACTGTTATACTTACCTGAATCCTGAAAAAATAAATTATAAAAGAAAAGAAAAAACAAGAGAAATATAATATTTATGTAATTTTCTAAAAACAACAAGCAAGAAAATCTCTCCAATTAAAATTACATGACAAAACGAAATAAAAGAAAAAAAAAGATCATAACGAAGCATAACGAAAAAAAAAGAAACAAAACCTCTTCCTTAAATAAATATAAGAAAAACAAAGAAACAAAAAAAAAGTAACATTAAAAAATTTAATATTTTAGAAATAAAAACAATTAAAAAAACAATAAAAAAAAGAAAAAAAAAAATAAACCAAAAGTGAGAAAAATATATTTTGTGTTTCATTTTACGTCTTTCCTCAATTTCGTTCTCTTTTCCATTCGGCCTTTCTCCCACGCTTCGATCTTTTCTTCCCTTCGACCTTTCTACTCCCTTCGATCTTTTTGTAATTTCAGCCTTTCTCTCTTTTCAGCCTTTCTCCTCCCTTCGGTCTTTCTGTACTTTCAGTCTATCTCTCCCTACGGTTTTTTTCCTTTCTTTCTTTCATTCATGATCGCCTATTACTTTCATTAAAATTAAAATTGTGAAAAGGAGCAAAAATTTAAATATACTTCTAACAAAATACCAGGCCAGCAGGAATTTTAGAAAGTAAATCAGAAATTTACTTTTTCGCTTGCTATCTATCATTCATGATAGCCTATTACTTTCATTAAAATTGACATTGTAAAAAGGAGTAAAAAATTAATATATTTCTAAAATAATACCAGGCCAGCAGGAATTTTAGAAAGTAAATCAGAAATTTATTTTTTGGCTTGCTATCATTCATGATCGCCTATTACTTTCATTAAAATTGAAATTGTAAAAATGAGCAAAAAATTAATATATTTCTAAAATAATACCAGGCAAGCAGGAATTGTAGAAAGTAGATCAGAAATTTATTTTTTCGCTTGCTATCATTCATGATCGCCTATTACTTTCATTAAAATTGAAATTGTAAAAAGGAGCAAAAATTTAAATATACTTCTAACAAAATACCAGGCCAGCAGGAATTTTAGAAAGTAAATCAGAAATTTACTTTTGCGCTTGCTATCTATCATTCATGATCGCCTATTACTTTCATTAAAATTGAAATTGTAAAAAGGAGTAAAAAATTAATATATTTCTAAAATAATACCAGGCCAGCAGGAATTTTAGAAAGTAAATCAGAAATTTACTTTTTCGCTTGCTATCATTCATGATCGCCTATTACTTTCATTAAAATTGAAATTGTAAAAATGAGCAAAAAATTAATATATTTCTAAAATAATACCAGGCCAGCAGGAATTTTAGAAAGTAAATCAGAAATTTACTTTTTCGCTTGCTATCATTCATGATCGCCTATTACTTTCATTAAAATTAAAATTGTGAAAAGGAGCAAAAATTTAAATATACTTCTAACAAAATACCAGGCCAGCAGGAATTTTAGAAAGTAGATCAGATATTTATTTTTTCGCTTGCTATCATTCATGATCGCCTATTACTTTCATTAAAATTGAAATTGTAAAAATGTGCAAAAAATTAATATATTTCTAAAATAATACCAGGCCAGCAGGAATTTTAGAAAGTAAATCAGAAATTTACTTTTTCGCTTGCTATCATTCATGATCGCCTATTACTTTCATTAAAATTGAAATTGTAAAAATGAGCAAAAAATTAATATATTTCTAAAATAATACCAGGCCAGCAGGAATTTTAGAAAGTAAATCAGAAATTTACTTTTTCGCTTGCTATCATTCATGATCGCCTATTACTTTCATTAAAATTAAAATTGTGAAAAGGAGCAAAAATTTAAATATACTTCTAACAAAATACCAGGCCAGCAGGAATTTTAGAAAGTAGATCAGATATTTATTTTTTCGCTTGCTATCATTCATGATCGCCTATTACTTTCATTAAAATTGAAATTGTGAAAAGGAGTAAAAAATTAATATATTTCTAAAATAATACCAGGCCAGCAGGAATTTTAGAAAGTAAATCAGAAATTTACTTTTTCGCTTGCTATCATTCATAATCGCCTATTACTTTCATTAAAATTGAAATTGTAAAAATGAGCAAAAAATTAATATATTTCTAAAATAATACCAGGCAAGCAGGAATTGTAGAAAGTAAATCAGAAATTTATTTTTTCGCTTGCTATCATTCATGATCGCCTATTACTTTCATTAAAATTAAAATTGTGAAAAGGAGCAAAAATTTAAATATACTTCCAACAAAATACCAGGCCAGCAGGA